GACATGCCCTCACAGTTTGGAATCAGTTTACCACAGCCAATCATATGCTTTCTTTCATCAACGCGCTTGACCAAGCTATCAACATTGTCGGGGCGGAGCTAAGTCACAAGACGCTATTAAAGACGCGCACCACTCTACCATGTATTTGAAAATAGCTAAAATCGAAAAAACAGCACAAACTTAACTTTAAAGAAATCCTAAACAACCAAATTTAAATATGTTGCATACGCAGGGTAATCTTGTTACACGGTTCAGGGGGTCTCAACAACCATCCCAAAGTACCATTTTCTGAGAGTTGTTGGCCTTTGTTTTCACCATGATGGTTGCCAGGCGGTGAAAATGCTCGCACAGTGGAAGCTGTGTTGGCTTGCAGTGGATGTCGAGGCAATACAATATTCGGACAAAAGCCGTCCAGAGTACTTAGTTCCGAGTCTGATGTGTTCGTTTTTAGTCGCACTGGAAATGGTAAACCATTATGCTTTACCAACCTTGCGACCATCAAGCGTGGTAATAGTGTTGTCGCCACTATTGAGTATTATAGAAGAGTATACCTCAAAGCTCATTGTGTCACTGCAACATATATTGACAGAAATGAAGCCGAAGATGTAGTCTGGTTCCCTGCCAAAGTTTTCACCTCAGCGTTGAAATGGGGCAGGGAACCAGACTAGCCGAAGATGAAGACATCAGAAATGCAAAGCCCCAAGCGCTTTTTGGTAGTCATTGTAACAAAGCTTTCTATTGGTCGGTAAACTTTCTATCGCACAACCACGTGACATACACGGTTATGAATAGAATTACCGCACGGTGTTGTGGAGGGAGGAATGTTCGAACGGAGCATCACCGTGCAGGCGGACGATGGCTAAGTTTCGGCCTCAGGCATCTATTGGGGCCGAGATCAAGTTTTTTTTGGCACGTGCCGACTTGGTCTTGATCATTCATATACCTGTTTCTCAGCATGTGCGAAGATCTCTAACGTGAATGCCACTTATGTCTGTTGTGGTTACATCTATACTTAATGTATTGATGTTCACAACACTTTGTTTGATTACATCATCACATTATATGTATTGCGGTTACATCAACACTTTATGTATTGTGATTACATCAGCACTATATGTGTATGAAGTTGTGGTTGATAAACCCAAACCTTGTCAGCTTTAAAAAATAAATATTTATAAAATATATTGACCATTTCAGTATTGTCATATTAAATCTTATTTATTTGACAATGATTAGATAGGAATCATATAAGACAAATGATTGATTTACAAATATCATGTACATCCATGCAGCTCAATAACCCAGTTATTCAGCTTATCATCAGTGAACGTTTTTTTCGCTCACTCCAAGAACGAACATAATACTTTTTTGGGCAAAAAAAAAATGGTCACTGCTGTGGAATATTATAATATCTCGACCTTCCAAATAAAATAAATATAATTTAATATGACAAAGATATTATTTATACTTGTCTTCATTTACTTTTATTCTTAGACAACTTGAACTTCCAGGTTAAAATTTCAGTATCAACACTTTTTTCTGTTTTGTTTTAATTTGTATTAAGTTTGGGTGATCACAAAGAAGTAATATTGTCTGGAAATTTGTGTTCTTTTAAGAAAATATTCTCCAATTAAGGATCATACTGTCATCTGTTACCAGATTTGCATTCTGGGAGTGTTTTTATAGCATTATTGAGGTAGTGAAACTATCATAAAATATTTGAATATGGTATGAATATGTGCAAAGTATTTTTCCACATTCACTTGTCCAAATTCAGAGCATTATACATTTCACTTAATAGTCCCATGAACTGGATTAACTTAATAATTTAATAATGGATCTATTTGAACATCCATTTTCTATTTTTATCAAAACTGAATTTTCTATAATTAAAGAGCGGTGGTCATCGCGCAGCATTTAATTTAAAGTTACACGTAAGCAATGTATTTTACATGCGTTTGTTTGTCGCTATGAGTCCCACATTGAACAGGACACAGTGCAACGACCTCTGCCCTTTAGGAGAGTGCCTCACATTAACCGTGTCGTATCATGTTTTATAAATTTTGTCATTTAATTGAATGACATGTTGTGAAAAATATCTGCTTTCCCTTAATGTTCATTGTAAAAATCATTTATAATATTGATCCACTTTGCACTGAACTGTACAATAAGATCACTCCATCTCATCTCATCTCACCTCACAGTTGTCATATATTTTGTTTGTGGGTGCCTATGAATTTCTACATACAGCAAAATGTATGCATGCTAATAAAATAATATAAATCAATTTTTGCTGAGAAGAATGTTAGCAAATTTGTTTTTGTGACTTACAAAAATACATCTTCAGAAATTAAAGCATTTTACAGTACTTCTAAAATTGAAAGATACTCTATTATCTGTTGTGTTGTAAAATCAAAGACGTGTATAAAATTTGCTATCTTTTTAAAATTAATAATATATATTAATGCATGTTACATTAAGTAGTTCAATAGCTAGTTCTATACGGGGAGAGGTTGCAATAGTCAATTTGTGAGAGATGGAAATTATTTGAAAAAAAGAATATAAAAATGCATGGATTTATAAGGGTATATAACTTTGATATGTACGTTGATATTTGATGAAGATCCAAATCTACAAGAAAGTCAATTGAATCTATTTCTAATCAATGGCATGGCATCGCATAAAGCAGTAAATGCTTGGAAAGAATTGACTGCATAAATAGAAATGAGCAAGATTTCACTGTATTTCAAGAGACAAATGAACTCTTTGTGAACAAGCAAGGAGCAAAAACTGCCAGGGACTATCACTATTAAGTTCTTTTACAGATTCGTTTTTATTACTGGTTTTGTGATTTTGTGTTCATCTTGCATCTCATCTTATAAATCCTTAGAATATGCTAGTTAATGCATACATAATGTAATTTTTCAAAGAATATTGATGCCCCATTGGTTGATCCTGATCATGTGACTTGTCATGAAAGGTTGTGTTCGGATTGTGCTAAGGTTTATATACTGCAATGCAAAGCATTTTAAAGTTTATTTTTAAAAGTACGTCTTATTCCATATTTTATTCATAGATATATCTATATGATAATTTG